AAAAAAGCAGTTTCAGTGCGGTGTCGCGACTGAAAAGCGTTTGGGACGTGGTGGCTCCGAGCTGAGGGTTTTAAAAGCAGCTTCAGGCACCCGATGCGTGGTGTCCCCTCGGAGCCTCTGGTGAGAGCTTCGCGAGCAGCGCCCGGTTCAGTGGGCTTCCGATTCCGAAATCTGTGTCTTGACGCTGTCACCTGACTTAGAGTTTGGAATCAGGTTTTGAGGAGTTGCACAGATTTGCGGTGAAGCAAATTCCGAACTGTAATTTCGGCTTGCTTGAAGTGTTTTATGGCAGCGACTAGTGTACAAATTACATACTTAGGAAAACAAAACACAGTACAGCAGGGGTCAGCAGCAGTTGGAGAATCTTTGGTTCAAAATCCTTTCAGTGGAAGGTGGAAAGGAAGGCACGTTTATTTCGTCTGGAAGTTGATGTAAGAGTGTGTTACATTCAATTTAGAAGTGTGTTAGTGGCAGACGTTCAGACCAACTTCTACGTTTAAATGAAAAAGTACATGTTTATATTCGTGATGATTTTGACTAGCAAAAATTTAATTTTTCTCAGGAAAAAGTCGGGAGGCTGATGCAGAATAAGGACTAACTGTTCATCCTGTTGAGATGTCTTGTAGTCCATCGTTAACAGAACCGGCACTTTCCAACTCTGAGATACAAGGATCCGCAAAAATGAGAAGAAATGATGCTACTTCCAGAGGTTTGGTGGGTGCTTAATTTTTTTAATTAAACTTAATATTTGTAAGCATGTGTTGAAAATGAAGTCAAGGCGTTGTGTTTTCTAAACCTTTTTTTTTTTTTTCCCCCTTGAGAAGTAAACTGGTGAAGTTTTTAGCTGTATCTGTTGTTTTATTGATTGGAATTGCATGCTATACAAGTATATAAATATATTTCTGTTGTATATTTATGTTAACTCTGCTGTAGTAACTGGTTCTCTGGAATATACAAAAATCGCTGTTGCTACAGGAATGTTTTGAACTACCAATACAGTGGCTGGGTTCAGTACTGCAGAACAAAGTCCAGTTTGGGTCTCTGGTCTGTATCAGTAACTACCTCTGAAGGCCTAGGGGAATGAATTATCGTCTTCAACCAACCTAAAAGCCTCTGAAACTTATATCTGGAGAGCCTACAGATGGACTGTAAATGCCTTCTGCTGGCTCTGTCTGTAGTGTACTAGCAGCCTATGTCATTGGAACTCTACAGCTGTGATGGGGTTGTGTTGTTAAGGTCCATGTGAACACACAGATAAATAACCCTCCAGTTTTGCCAAGGCAGCCAGCGTTCTGTCTAGCAAAATGGAGTTTTCGAAGCTGGAGAGAGACTTTTTTACAAGGGTGTGTAGTGATAGGAGAAAGGGCAATGTCTTTAAACTGAAAGAGGGCAGATTTAGTTTAGATAGAAGGAAGAAATTCTTTGCTCTGAGGGTGGTGAGGCACTGGAACAAGTTGCCCAGAGAAGTTGTGGATGCCCCATCCCTGGAAGTGTTCAGGGCCAGGTTGGATGGGGCTTTCAGTAACCTGGTCTAGTGGAAGATGTCTCTGGCCATGGAAGAGGGTTTGGAACTAAATGATTTTTAAGGTCTCTTCCAACCCAAACTGTTCTGTGATTTGTTTGTTAAATCTCCTCTTTGATTTGTTTCTATGTGCAGAAACTCTATAGCAAGATGCTGATAAAGCTCATCTATAAAACTTTCAGTCTATAACTTTTTAGTTAGTTATTCCAAAGGTCTAGGGAGGTTGTTTTTTTGGTTTTGTTTTGTTTTTTTTTTTTTTTTTAATTGAATAAAGGTTTCTGTAGATGTTTTTCTGAGTGAGTAGGAACTGTAAAAAAAATTTCAGGCAACAGGCACCATTCAGAAGGTGGGTAGTAATTCATGCTGTGCTTGAAGGACATAACTGTACAAACTTATGTTCTAGTTTTTCCACCTCTTTTGTAGCTGGAAAAAGGAACTAAATGGTAAATATCGTTTCAGGTTCTTCTTTCTGATGATCATGAAAGTGAACAGTCAAAATCTATTCAAAGAAAGAGAGTGCTTCCATCTTGGATGCTGGAAAGAGATCTCCTGGGTCGGGGGATTTCTGAGCCTGTAATGAAAGGAGGTAGGTTTGCTGTGTAGTGTGTTTGCACACCAATACACATTCAATGTGTTTTGATATAATTTTCTTAAATTATAGTGGTGGTGGTACAAAGTAGTAACTTGTTTCTTCTCTTTCCATGCCTCGCAACTGACAGAGACTGACTTCTGTTGTCTCCTTTGTCATCAGTCCTCTGGTTGTGACAGAGCTCTTTCTGACTAGTTGATTTTATTTTTGGTTTTGTTTATTTGGTTGTGTCTCTTTTTTTTTTAAATGCCAGGTAATATACTCTTTTCTAAACAGTTGAACATCCAATGTTCTGGAGCCCTTTGCTATGAACTGGCCTGTTTTGTTTAGTGTGTAAATTCTAGGCAGTTTCTGTACCTTTAATTCCGAGCCTTCTCCACATTTAAGTCACTGATGTATTGCCCTTCTAAATTTAGAGTTTTCTAATTTCACAGGTTTTAAAGGTGAGTTTTTTTTTTTGACGGTGGTGTGTGTTTTAATTGTGAATGAATCAAACTTGATCGCTTAATCCAAAGTCTCTTCCTAGGAGGAGCAGTTGATCGCAGTATAGTAGTTTCTTACAAGTATGAGGCTAAAATAGTGTTGCATTCCCTTTTGTCCTTCCCACAAAAGGAAACTGGT